GATCCGATTGAGTGAGGTCTGCACAGGGTGGTGGCAGACGAGTTGGATGCGTGGAACGACGACGGCGTCCGGATCCAGGCGAGCGGCAGATGGACCTTGCAAGGCGTTGGGGTTCTCCTGGGTGGCGCCATGGTTGCGCCGCCGTGCTCCTCAAAGAAAACGAGGAAGCATGAGGGGGAGAGAGAGAGGGGAAAACCAAGAAGAAGGAGAGAAACGAGAGATGGCACGGCATGGCGAGCATGGCGGCGAGAACCCAAGTTGCTCCCTCCAGCGCGCCCCTCCATGGCTCCCGCACTTCTCTGTGAGGATTAGAACTCAAAAATAGTCCCACCTCGCTCATGTGCATCCAATCCAATCAATTTATATACGCGAGCGACTTTGCCGCATCAGAAATCAACCAGTGAAGGAGGAACAGAACGAAGGAGCTTATAATCAAAGAGGGAAAAGAGGGGAGAATACACGCAATCCATAGTTCGAAGGAAGAACTCTGAATCAGATAAGCGCGCAATCAGCAGCTAACAGAACAGCCATAGGTCCAAACCAAATCGGATCAATCGACAGGCGACGGCCTGGGAAATCAGATCGGCAGGTCTGTCCGTTGAATCAACAACATCTGTAAAAAAGCAGATGGGGAGGATTAAAACAAGCCGCATCAAAATGGGAACGGAGCGAATCCGGGCATGGTCACCACCGCGAGCTAGGCCCCAAGCAAGGCGACTACAAGACAGTGCCCGGCCCGGGGGAGCACGGCCTGCACGACGGACCTGGCGCTTCGCTCGACGGACAGGACAGAGCTAGGCCCCAAGCAAGGCGCTTCGCCCAGCTCCGGCGTCCTCTCCTGGCACCGAGGATCATCAGGGCGGGAGGGAGGAGTGTTCATTGGTTGTGGAGGGGGTTATGGCTGGAGCAGAGCACCACCAGGGTGTGTGTGGATGCAGCACATCGCGCGTTGGAAGGGGGGTAGGGGCGGAGAAGACGAGCCAGCGCTCCTCTGGTAATGAGGACTCCACGCAGGATAACTCTCGGTGGGGATTCTTTTGGTGCTGCTTTTTTTAATGGCTCCACCGACCAGAAGCTGCTGGATATTTCCAGGTGTGTGTGCTACCGATTGCAAAAAATAAAATCCTGAATGAGCACCTTTTTTTAACAGAACATAATCTTGAAAACCAAGCAACCAATATTTTCTAAAAAAAATCAACATAGTAATTGAATATTAACAAAAAAAATTATATATTAACAATCTCACTTGAATGCACCACTACTCTTCCACCAAAAATAAATTCATGCCTTCCACATCTTATGAACACATTATCAGATACAATAATGAAAAGTGAGTGAAATTTTAGACAAGGCATACACGGCGTGGCCTCCACATAAAATTTACTAGAATTTTTTTCCTTTTTATGTTGATGATGGGGAGTGTGTGAGGTTCGATCTTTGGGCCAAGTTCAAATAGTGCAAATGAAAAAGAATGGAACATAATCTTGCAAACCCAGGAACCAACATTTTCTATAAAAAATCAGCATAGTAAAAACCTATTTGCTTTCGAATATCAACAAAAAAATGTATATAAACAATCCCATTTGAATGCACCACTACTCTTCCATTCAAAATAAATTCATTTGCATTTAAATCTTTTAAAAATTCTAAGAAAAACCTTTTGGATTAAACAATTTCACCATCTGTATATCCCACTAAAAACACTTACATCATTCCTCTTCCACGCCGATGATAATGCCAAGATGAAGGAGAAGCCATCAAAGGACATCCCGACGATTTTCTCAACTTTATAGTATGTCTGGGCACTAACAATACTTTTTTTAAGTGCGGACACAGAGCGAACGTGTTTTTTTAAGATAAAGAGTGAATTTTTCTTGCTTTCCAAACCTTCATGCTTTTAAATATGTTCACGCTTTTTTTTAATGCACAAAACTCCAAAAAATTACTCCGAAAAGCGATAACATTATTAACTTATTACCGATGTTTATCAAAACTGGATATAAGATATAGCCCGTACTGTCATACGGAGCAGGTTTTACGATATTTTTAGCCCGTTGCAACGCACGGGCATCTGTACTAGTACAATGTTCTATTTTAAAAGCCGGTCATATTGTTAATCTTAAGAACCTACTGTGGACTTCAATGCGGGCGACCTGTCCCAGTTGTAGCTATGCAGCACCACCACGCTGTCTTCAAATAGCATTCGCATTCCTGGTTGTAGTAGCTGCTGGCCAACAAAACTCTACAACATTGAAGCAGAGCAAGCAACAGAGAGATATCGTCCTCACAGACCTATTCCTTTTTTCTTAAGAAGATAAACATCAGCATAGTACTCTGAACTACTCCCTCCGTAGACAAATATAAAAGCGTTTAGAATACTAAAGTAGTGATCTAAACGCTCTTATATTAGTTTACAGAGGGAGTACAGTACATAACAGTTCCAGAACTAATGACTGAATCTTGGATATGGACTACACATGATTGACAGCCAAAGAACTGTCAGCAACACATCCCCCGAGAGAGAAAGCAGAGGTTTGACACATAATCAACAAATTGGACATGTTAACCACTGAGAAAAAGATACATGTATGTATCTTTGTTCTCCACAATGAATTTAATTTCACGACTGTTCATCTGGTGCTAACTCCCAGGTTTATAATTCTGCCCACAAGCGGCAAGCATACAGCAACAAAGAAGGATGTATTGCCGCAGCTTCAGGATGCTGTGAGATTAGTCGTAACAGAGGTATTATATGGCTACGACTGCTTCAAGACTCTGCTTGGGTGGCTCAATGGCCGCATCAGCAATTCCTCACGCTCTAACTTCATTAGTCACCCACTGCAGGCACAAAAATGATGGGCAAAATATGTTTATTAACTTCACAATTCACAAACTTGCTGTGACTCTGAATCCTCAAAGCCAGGCCATCCCAGCAACAATAGGTAAAGTAGCATTTCAGTGCGAGAAAATAGTGTGAACCTTCACATGACTGAAACATCCAAGTAACGAAAAACAGAAACTTTGTCAATTCAGCCATATAAGCGTGGGAATAATATATATATGTCAAAAAAAAGCATGAAAAGAGGGTTATGACTGAAACTTCAGAAGCTGTTAACAAAGGGCTTTCTCGACAAAACAGGGGCTGAAACATTAAATAAAGGATTGAAACATTGGAAGAGGAACATGTGAAAGAGGAGGAATATGCTTTAAGACATTGGAAGCGTAAACAACCAACCCCCAAGTACGCTTTGCTTCACTGTATTGTCTATTCTGGCATCGCAATAGCGTTAATGTAGTGGTCAGTCACCCACCCCTCAAATCAGAAATCGGTGCCTCGATTGGTGTGATAAAGCAAAAAGCATCAACCACTTGGACATTTTAATCCCACTGCTTTGTTCTCGCCAGTCGCCACTGAGTTTAATTTCACAACTCAACCTTTCTCGGCTCAGGTTTACAAATCTTTGATTTTGCATGCATTTCTCTTTTCCTTAGAGCAATAGGTGTTCCCTATTTCTGCAACTCACTGAATTTAGGCACCTCATGGAGTCGAATGCTCCATCTGCAACTCCAAGTTTATGAGTCTTCACTCGTCGATTTTCGTTTCAGCGCATCAACCTTACAATACACACACTGCAGTTGGCAACAGATGCTTTTTGTTGGGTCCATGACACTCTGTTCTTAGTCCTCGAGCCTTGAAGGGGAAGATGCTTCGTGGGTCACTCCCTTAGCAGCATAGGAGCCCCCTCCCCCCACCTGCGAGTTGGCTTATGTCGTATAGATTTGTTTAGTTGCCATGGTGCCCGCCCAGTTCTCCTCGCGTGGCCCTCGTGTGACAATAATGACGATACTAAGTGGTGCTTATTGTTCTTCTGTTGAAGTCGGAGCTTCCTTTTTCATCGTAGGTCACAAAATTGCCACTACTATGGGGTTCTTTGCATTTTTCTCAAAAATGGATCCATTGTTGTTGTCCTGGTGTCGATGTTTGTCGTTTCTTCAATGTGTGTCCAGGTCTGGGTTTTCCCTGTGCCGTTGTAACCGGGAGTGGTTTTTCGTCAACATTTTCCTTATTAAGCAGCTAACTCTCTACTATCGCGGAACTTTCGTCTCTTGTCGGCCCAAAAAAATCGTCATGAATTATGTTTGTTCGATATTCTAGTTGTGGAACAATTTTTTTAACTGTCGTGGAACAATTTTTGTCAGTTCCATACTGTGAAAACAATCTTGGGAAGTTATTTTGGGCTCTGGTGTTGTGTGGTTGGAAATAGGCCGTTGGATGTTATTTGAGTGGCAGGGATTGAATGGAGCTCAGCCAAGTTCAGTTCATTTCAGAACATCCAACGCCACTCGAATTCCCCACCGCCGCCGCCGCCGCCCGCCGTCGCGGCGTCATGCTCCTCCTCCGACAGCGCGTCCTCTCCCATCTCCTCTCCGGCGCGCCCTCTCCTCCCACCTCCCCACTCCTCTCCCTCCACCGCCTCCTCTCCACCACCGCCGCGCCCGCCGTTTCCACCAACCCTAGCTTCGCCGTGGAGGAGTACCTCGTCTCCACCTGCGGCCTCACCCGTGCCCAGGTACTCAAGGCCTCCGCCAGGCTCTCCCACCTCAAGTCCCCCGCCAACCCCGACGCCGTCCTCTCCTTCCTCTCCGGCGCTGATGTCGCGGCCGTCGTCGCCAAGGACCCGCGGTTCCTCTGCGCCAAAGTGGAGACAACCCTGGCCCCAATCGTCGACGGGCTCACCGGCCTCGGACTGTCGCATTCTGAAATCGCGCGACTCGTCTCGCTCGCCCCGTGCAAATTGAGCCATAGATCCGTCGTCTCCAAGGTAGAGTATTACCTGCCGCTCTTCGGCTCCATCGACAACTTGCTCCGGCCCCTCAAACACGGCTCCGGCTTCCTCGGCTCCCACCTCGAGAGGGTGGTCAAGCCCAATGTCAATCTCCTAGCAGAGTGCGGGCTAGCTGTTTGTGATATTGCCAAGCTGTTCATCCGTGAGCCAAGGATGATTAGCGCCAAACCAGGGCGTGTCCTGGCGATGGTTGCGTGCACAGAACGTCTAGGTGTGCCCCGTGGCTCTGGAATGTTCAGGCAAGCGCTGCACACCGTCTCATGCTTCAGCGAGGACAAGATCGCTGCCAAAGTGGACTACTTGAAGAGGACACTTAGGTGGTCAGATACCGAGGTTGGCATTGCTGTGTCCAAGGCTCCGGTTTTGCTGACAAGATCAAATGGCGTGCTGCAGCGTATGTCAGACTTCCTAATCTCTGAGGTGGGATTGGAGCCGGCCTACATTGCTCGTCGCCCCGCTATGCTCACTTACAGCCTGGAGGGACGGCTCAGGCCCCGCTACTATGTTATGAGGTTTCTTAAGGAAAGTGGATTGCTAAATCATGACAGAGACTACTATAGTATGGTGGTGGTCGGCGAGAAGGTATTTGTCGAGAAGTTCATATGCCCTCAGAAGCAAGCTGCACCACACCTTGCTAAAGACTATGCAGCTGCTTGCACAGGGCAGGTGCCTGCTACATTCACATTTACATGAACCAAGAAGTAGGAAAATGGATTGCTAGAGCGCGAGTGGAGCTACTATTCAGCAGTCTTGGTGACAAAGAAGATTTTCATGGAAAAGTTCGTATGCCCTCACGAGGAAGCTGCCCCCACCTCGCGGAAGACTATGCTGCCACTTGTAGGGAAGTGCCTTCTAATTTCAGAATTACATGACCAAGAACGGGCCATGAGAATTTGTAACTGCGTACGGTGCAAAAAAGTTCACCCTGTGTGTAGTGAGCTGGTAATCTCTGTCTGTGTGCCTGAGTGGATGTTGGTTGTCTGCTATAGTATGTCAGATATACATGCTAATTTAGCGTCGCTAGTCTTGAATGAAACAGGTAATTTTATCGTGAGTCCTTCTATGTCCATTACATCATTCAGTAGAGAAGAAAGAATTATAGTACAATTAACCTGTCCATCGTGATGTCATATTGTCATGCATACTAGAACTAAAAGAGTGTGACATCAGGGCATTCTGCAAATGCTTTCAAATATATTAATGAAGAGTATATCTGCACGCCCTATATGTTTATGTTCTCAATTGCCATTGCAGCTTTCAATTTAATCCTGGGTCAATCTATCTTTCCATGAAAAAAGGTTCTCATTTTTGCCATGAAGATGATATGAAATCCCAAAATTAGCTGAATGTCTTTTTTCGTGGCAACAAATCTGGAATGAACGTGTTAGTCACTGCTGAGGTTGCAGTTTTGATCTATTCTGTTGGTTGCTTCCTCTAGTTCTTCTGAGCTGAAAGTCTTCATCCTTCCTGCAGTAGCTTTGTTTACAAGATATTAACTGTTGTGAAAGCAGGTCACTGTTTACTACTAATAGTTTGTATCAGTTTTTTCGTTTGTTTTTCTCTTATATTCTTGGATGGCCTACTGGCTGATACTTTTTCTAGGAGCATCTGATGTCAAAACTGAATAATTCAGTAGTTGGCCAGTAGCATTTTGTTGACAGCCTACCCATGTAGCACTACGTAACGGATATTTGTACCGGAGACACTTCTAACTGAAGCCAAAGAGTGAGAGAGTCCATTAATTCAGCACCGTGAAGTGGCAACTCCCAGATTTACATTTACAGCTCCATGAGTTGACATTCGTTCACTGTAGTATCAATAATCAAATTTGATACGGCACGATGCATACACATTATAACTGAAAATAGGAAATGGAAACTTTTTCTGTTTACTTTATCTGGACAGCACAGGGGCTGAGAGACAACCAGTGACTGATTTCGCCTTTCACGACGAACAGCGATGATGAGATGACCTACCTTACTTGGCTGCCAGAACAGCAAACAAGGGTGATTATTGCTTTAAATTAGAGGAGGTGATGCTCCATTTATAAGAGTGATTTGATTACTGCTTTTGGGATGCTTACTGTGAGTGCTACATATTTATACACCTAGGACTAGGTGTACGAGGAGAGCAAAAAGACGAACCGGTTCAGAAATCTTCAGATTTGGAATGTGAAAGATGATGGGCAGAGCTGGACAAGATTCTTTGCTGCCCGCCAAGGTACATGTCACCCTTACAAGTCTGAGCAATAAGAGGATCTGGATACCGAGGCTGAAAGAGCAAGCAGCACCTGGGAGTTGCAATAGGAACATGCTGGTTGTTACTATTAGAAAGCAGAGGAGGTACAGAGTTGGGAATCTGGTTTACAGTCTGCCCAAACGACACTGAAAAAGCTCTAAAGAGGTCCGTGAGGGCGATATCATAAGGGCGATGACATAAAGCCCAACTCCGAGGTCGGCCCGGTTCACGCCCCCAGGTTCCCTAAGACCAAGGAGGAAGGCGTAGTGGCTGGTGGTCGGCGACAGCTCCACCAAGCAGCTGCTGGCGATCAAGAGGGTCACCCTCCAGAAGAGGGCCCGTGTGAAGCTCAAGTTGCAGGGAGGGGCAGCGGGCAGGAACGGCCCCTAAGAATGTACAACATGTGCGGTTGCACTGGCCTCCAATGTCCTAGGGCCCCCGTGTAGGCACATACAATAAAATACTTTGTAGGTACATACAATGAATACTTAATACTCTCTCCGTTCCAAAATAGATGGCCCAACTTTATACTAACTTTGTACTAAAGTTAGTACAAAGTTGAGTCATCTATTTTAGAACGGAGGGAGTATTTAACAAACACTTATTAATGCAATGTAGCAAGTAGTATAATATCCAACAACATAAATTACAATCTAAAACGCTAACTAGCAACAATTCATGATGATAGGAATGAAGAAGTTGGACACCTATCTCCAAAACGAATGGAAATAAGTCTCCTAATGACACCATGAGCAGGACTAAGTCAAATGATCCACTAGGCGAGCTCTAGTAGTTAGTCATTGACTAAAGTGCGCTATATGTAAACATACGACCATAACATGTCCCAAACAGTTGCACCTTTGAGATTCTGCAACCTGACTTGAGAATTGAGTATCTACTCATGCTGCCTTTTTAGTGCGTGTGGTTCATCATGGCCTAGGCCAAGCTCATCGTGTTGTTCTTCATGATTGTATTTTTCATCGGCAACACGCCTCAGCTGCACACCTGATTCCAGGCGAACCCGACTACCACTATGAGGCTTTGTTATTTTGAGCATGTGGCCACCCGGCCGCATCCCTACCTCTACACCTCGTCGGCGGGTGCCACCCATCAAGATGGTAGTCAAACTTTGGTTTCCTTGAGGTTAGAGTGAATCCATGGACCAAGTAAATACAATGACGCCCTCGGGCCCTATGGTGGACGCTCACACATGTGTGCGCGCGCACACACACAAACTATGCATATAATCATCACATTATTAGTGAAAAAGTGTTGCATCCAAGAGCGTGCTAAATATAAATAAATCATTGAATATCTAAACAAAATAAGACCCACAAATTCATATTATAAAGCAATTTTACTTAGGATGCAAGTATCTCTTTATTATGAATGATTTACAAGTTGTACTAAAGGTTGTCTTAGCTAGAGTGATATTATTTCAGTACCAAGTATATATCGTATACACATCATCAACATATTACTGAACCCATCGTAATATGTTACACACATTTGACCCAAAAAATGAATAAAGAAAACTGCAGTTATTAGGTACCAAGCTTCTCATAAACATCTCATGAACTCGAGAATTTTCTATTTGCGTATATCTAATAATAAAGACCACTATGAGGGTGTATTTGTATACCACACACTTTAAGGTATTTATTAAGATTGTTAACGACACACATGCATATACGCCACATTAATACAAGCACAAATAATCCAAGAAGACATGATATCTTCTAGTTTCTTATTTAATCATATTTATGTAAAATTGATTTAAATGTGTTTAAGTAGTATTTTATTGAGAAATGTAACTTCTATTATAAAATATTGTTAAAATTTACCATAATAATTAGCTATGATTGTAAGCTGAAAAAAGTGTATTATAAACAAATATTAAAGTTTAGTATAAATAGTGATATTTATTTGACTCGCACCAAAGCCATATGTTTGGTTAAGACGATGACAACCATTTTCTATCTCCGGAAGCGAAGCAAGCTCAATGTTCCCACATCACTTGTTGTAAAGGATTGATAGTTCTGTTGAAATATGAGATGGGCCTAGAGCCCATATGACAATTTCAGATTTGATCTCTAAGGGCCCATGCAGGGCCCATGTAGGTGGCATGAAGGTGGTGGGAAGTTTAGTCCCCCTCCCCCGGAAGTGGAAGGAGAGTTGGAATGGTTTATAAGGGATCCTCTTCACGCGCGGCCGCACATATATATGTGGGACGCTGTCAACCCTAGCCGCTACGAAACAGAACGCATCTCCGCCTCCACGCCCACGTCGTTCCTCTGCTGCCGGCGATTCCGTCCCGTTCACCGCGTACACGGTTGACGGGAGAGCAGGCCTTCGAAACCCCGCTTCTCCAGATCCTGTACGGGAGAGGGGCGATTAGGTTTTTGGGTAGCGATTACGCGACTGCTCGCTTCTGTTCATCTACGCCCGCATCACCTTCGTCATCACCATGTCGACCGACGCCGACCATGCCGCCGCTAAGAAGGCCGAGGCCGACAAGAAGGCCGCCGCGGCTGCTGCCGCCGCCACCACCGCTGTGTGGCCGATTGGAGGGTATACATCGTTTATCCTTCTCGTGTTTCTTTTTGTTGTAGCAGTACTAGCGATATGCGTAGATGTTTCTACTATATGCGTAGTACATGCTCTGTTAGATCGTAATCAGTGTGTTATCAATGATGTCCATGTCATGCTCATGATTTATTCATGAATTAACTTAATCGAAAAACTGCCTATTTTCTTATCAAGTTCGGTAATGTTGGACAATGAAGAGAGATGAAAATGACCTGGCGGGCTACATAGATCTAGCGATGCGAAAAAAGGTTCCGGAGCAGATTTCTGGTATGGTGAGATGCAACGACTCACAACAAGCATAACAACTGTTTTGCCATCTAGAATCTCGTCCCTCCGAAGCACCTGCACAAGAAAACGTAAATTACAATGAGTACTGCCAATCAGTATGATTTAAACCAAAATAATAATAACATGTGGTAGGAGTTATAATTTTAGTTGTAGTATCAGTAGAATATTAACATGGAAATAAAAAATTATTTGAAAGAAAAAAAATACTATATGCATAAGTTGTAATATTAGCATACAACACTGGCCATAGGCACGACATCAGGATATGGTGAATAGTTTCAGGGGCTTGGCAACAAAGAGGATAGTGTGACTTGTGTTGAAGTCCACGACACTGCAATTGATTAGGTCTCAAGTTTCCAAATAAATTGATCTTTCATCTTGTCGTTGAAGACCATGGCGCGGAGAACTTCCCAAAGTTGAGAAAACCTCTGGCGCCTAGTCTAAAATAGCATCATGGACTTAGATCCCTATTAAGCACAAATGGTCAGAGGCTTGGATCTATGAGTGTGTGATTAGGAAATTTACAATAGAATACAGGGATACCATTGTCTTCCAGAAAAATAAATCCTCTTGTCTCT